GTCACCCCTGGGAAGTTGACAGGTTTCCTGAGAGTGGAATGAAAAGCAGCTCTGAATGTCATCTGAGAGACATTTCTGGGCCCAGGGGCAGTGACTGGGGACTCAATGTCAGCTGTGAAGAGCTGTGATAGGTGTCCATTCAGTGCATATTCTTCGATTATTAGAAAACCATCAGACATTTGGTCCCCAACAGCATCAACAGCCATAGCAATCTGCTGTGGGATGTCTTTCTGTATGCTGTGAATATGTGTTGCTCTGATTGGTTGATAAATAAAGCTGCATTGGCCTATGACAAGGCAGCTTAGAGGCAGGTAGAAATCTAAGCAGATAGACATAAAGAAGTAAAGGAGAGGAAGAGATGCCAGCTGCCTCTGAAGGAATACCATGCTAGCAGACTGGTAAGCCACAGAACACGTGGCAAAACATAGATTAATAGAAATGGGTTAATTTAAGGTATAAGAGCTAACGAGCAAGAATCATGAGCCATGAAGCTATACAGTTTGTAAATAATATAAACCTCTGTGTGTTCACTTGGGACCAAGTGGCTACAGGACACAGGAGGGAGAGATTAGTCCTAACTGTGGGGCCAGGAAGGACCAGAGAAAACTTCCGACTACAGCAACCTATTTTCTTTAGGGATGTCATCCTGTTAGGTCTACAGGCCAAGCTCAGCGGATGACCCCACACCCACACACATATGGGTAGCACCAAATGAATTCAGTGGGTTATAAAAAAACTAGACATGAAGTCTTGAGAGGGACCTGGGGTGTATCTGGGAAAAAATGGAAGGGGTTTGGAGAGTAAATATAATCAAAATATATCGTATACACATTATGAAATTCTCAAAGAAAAAGTAAAAACATTTTCTAAAGTAATATTGATGGTTTGGCAGTTAAGAACACTTGCTGCTCTTTCAGAGGACCTGGGTTGATTCCCAGCACCCACACGGCAGCTCACAACCATCTGTAATTCCAGTTCCAGGGGATCCCATGCCCTCTTCCAGCCTCCACTGGCACTGCACACACAGTGCACATGTATACATG